GAAGGAAAGAAAAGAGAGAGGTGGTAGATTTGAGGAGAAAGATTGCTGTACAATAAAAAAGATGAAAGGGAAGAAAGCCAACCCCAAACAAATATAAAGATATTAAGATAAAGAATGAATTGTTAAACTTTAAAGAATAAAAGAGAACAAATATGAATAAATAACAATAATTAGAAAACAACGTATTTTCTTTGAACAGAGTATTTGGCCGGTTCACAAATTTAAACAGTTGTAGGAGGTTAGCACCCACCCCTTTCCTAGAAGAATGAAATATTAAAAAGGCAGAATATTATATTTCCCTGGATGAGAAATGGAGAAGCATATTTTACAGACAAAGCAGCTCCCACCTTCCTGACCCCACCCTTTGTTAATGGGCCAGAGGCAGAAAGTCAATCCTTTGTCAAAGGACATTTGCAACACAATAGCAACAGAAACTAACACAATGGGCCCCATCTAGCAACCGAAACTCACCACACGTGACCTGGGAAGCATGTGACCTGGGAAGCACATGTGACCATCAGCCAGCAAGGCTAGCTAAGACCCCCACCCCCTGGGAGTCTGACAACCAATCAGGATACTCTTTCAGGGCCCCAAGAAATGCAAAGCCAGAGAGAGCATAAAAACCCGAGGATTTACTGTATCTGCCCCTTTTCTGTTCAGGAACTTAAGCCATGTGATCCTGTCCACCATTAAACCATCTTTCCAAGCAGTCTCCATGTTTCCAGTGTCTGTTTTCCCCACTTGGAGCAGAACCCAGAAGGATATTTCTTCCAACACAGTGTTTAGTCATTTCAATTAAATTTACAATTTCTATATTTCCTTTTTGCCATATTTATTCCTCATCTATTTTTAAAAAAAACCAATATTACCCTTCATCCTCATCTCTAATCTTAATCAAATTCAATTTTTCCCTTCTATTCTATATTATACCCCTTCGCATTGTCATCTATTTTTATATCCATCCTCACATTGGTTAATTATGTGATTATGTAATACAGTTGTTTAATACAAATTCAACATTTTAATATAAATCAATTAGTTATATAACTACCTTTTTTGTATATTAATCAATATGAACATGAATATTCCAATTATTTCCATGCAATCCAATTTCTTACAAATCAATTAATTATATTTACCAATAATAATAAACCAAATAATTTCCCCCATATATTCCTCCAAACCACAACTTAACCATTTCTGCTTTCAAAGCAATATACAATTAATAGTATCTCAATTATTACAATTCCCTAGTTAAATAGAGCTTTTTTTCTTTTGTGTTTTAAAATCTTGAACCTCCTCTTTTGCCCTAAATTTCCCATTGTTTGCAGTTTTGTACCTACCTTTTTTGGTGAGGAAAAAGAAAAAGAAATCTCTCTGCCTCATTTTGTCACGTTGCACCAAAGACCCTACTTACTTTCAATTTCGCTTTTTCAGCATAGCTAGGGGGAAAAAAATCTGCTGCAGGAATTTACCTCTTTGCAGCTAGCTAGCAACAGAGCCCTCCGCAAAACAGCTGAGAATAGGGCGGCTGTTTGAAGCCCCGCGGCAAGAATTTAAAGTTTTTTTCCTCTAGCCATCAGCTGGGACTCGGGAGGCAGCAATAGATTGGGAGTGGGCGGGGTAAGCGAACGGCCGGCGATCCAACAGAGGCAGAGGATGAGGGTGAGTGAAGGCGTGGGGGGGGGGCAAGAGAGGGCTTTGGCAACCCCTGTGAAATGGCCATTCGACCCCCAAAGGGGTCGCGACCCCCAGGTTGAGAACCGCTGACCTAGATGAAACGGCTTATCTAGATCTGTTCCAGTCGGGCTTCAGGCCTGGGTACAGCATGGAAACGGCATTGGTCGCATTGGTTGATGATCTCTGGAGGGCTCGGGACAGGAGTTGTTCCTCTGTCCTGGTCCTGTTAGACCTCTCAGCAGCTTTTTGATACCATCGACCATGGTATCATGCTGCACCAGTTGGAAGAGTTGGGGGGTGGGGGGCACTGTGTTGCGGTGGTTCTCCTCCTTTCTCTCTGACCAGTCACAGTCTGTGTTGGCGGGGGGGCAGAGGTTGACCCCGAGGCGCCTTGTATGTGGGGTGCCACAGGGGTCGGTCCTCTTGCCCCTTCTGTTCAACATTTATGTGAAGCCACTGGGTGAGATCATCCGTGGTTTCGGGGTGAAGTACCATCAGTACGCTGATGATACTCAGCTGTACATCTTCACCCCGGACCACCCCAATGATGCCCTTGAAGTGATGTCCCGGTGCCTAGAGGCCGTGCAGATCTGGATGGGGAGAAACAGACTCAGGCTCAACCCATCCAAGACTGAGAGGCTGTGGTTTCCGGCGTCCCAATATAGTCAGTTGGTGCCATCACTGACTATTGGGGGCGAGTCGTTGGCCCCCACGGAGAGGGCTCGCAACTTGGGTGATCTCCTGGATTCATGGCTGTCTTTAGAAGAGCATTTGACGGCTGTGGCCGGGAGAACTTTTTATCAGGTTCGCCTGATCCGCCAGTTGCGTCCCTTTCTGGATCGGGACTCCTTATGCACGGTCACTCATGCCTTTGTCACTTCCCGCCTGGACTACTGTAATACTCTGTACATGGGGCTCCCCTTGAGGAGCACCCGGAGGCTCCAGCTGGTCCAGAATGCAGCCGCGCGGGTGATTATGGGAGTGACGTGGCGTTCCCATGTAACACCTCTCCTGCACGAGCTGCACTGGCTCCCGGTGGTCTTCCGGGTGCCTTTCATGGTCTTGGTTACCACCTTTAGAGCGCTCCATGGCTTAGGGCCTGGGTACTTACGAGACCACCTTCTGCCACCAGTAGCCTCTCACCGGCCAGTACGCACCCATAGAGAGGGGCTCCTCAGGGTGCCGTCGGTCAAACAGTGTCGACTGGCGGCCCCCAGGGGGAGAGCCTTCTCTGTGGGAGCACCTGCCCTTTGGAACGAGCTCCCCCCGGAGATACGGAGGATCCCGGATTTACACACTTTCCACCGTGCGCTCAAGACCTTTCTATTTCAACAGGCTGGGCTGGCCTAACTTCCTTTTAATTGTTAATTTTAAATTTGTTTTAAAACGATAGGGGTGTTTTAATCTGTATGGGCCAAATTATTTAATGTGTTTTTACATTGTTTTTAAATTTTGTATTATGTGTATTTTATCTTTTGGCTGTTCCCCGCCCTGAGTCCTTCAGGAGTAGGGCGGTATATACAAAATAAAGTAATAACGGTAAATACAAAATAAAGTAAAGTAAAAGTAAAGTAAATGGGGTATTTTAATTGTTGGGCCAAATTGTTTAATATATTTTAAATTGCTTTTAAATTTTTGAATTCTATGCTTTTTACCTTTGGCTGTTCACCGCCCTGAGTCCTTCGGGAGAAGGGCGGTATATAAATTTAAATATAAATAAATAAATAAATAACCTAATCTTGTGTCGCTTCTTCTCCGGTAATATTGAACTGTAAACCAACATACAAAACTTTTGTCAGACTAATTCTTGAATACAGCTGATCTGTTTGTAACCCGCACTGCATATCGGACATTAATACAATTGAACTAGTCCAGAGATATTTCACGAGAAGAGTCCTCCACTCCTCTGCTCGCAACAAAATACCTTATGCCACCAGACTTTTGGGCTTAGACAATTTAGAACTTCGCCGTCTTCGGTCTGACCTAAGCATAGTACATAAAATTATCTGCTACAATGTCCTACCAGCCAATGAACCCTTCAGCTTCAACCAAAACAATACAAGAACACACAATAGATACAAACTCATGGTAAACCGATCCAAACTAGACTGCAGAAAATGCGACTTCAGCAACAGAGTTGTCAACGCCTGGAATGCACTACTTGACTCTGATTTCTTCCCCAAACTCCCCAAACTTTAACCTTAGACTGTCCACTGTAGACCTTACCCCATACCTAAGAGGTCTTTAAGGGGCATGCTTAAGCGCACCAGCCTGACTACCGTCCCTGTCCCAATTCATATTAGCATAATTGCATATTTATTCATAGCCAATTCATGTATTTATAATTATGTTTACACTTGTATCTGGCATAAAATACATGCTTGACAAAATACATATAAATAAAAAAAGAAAAGAATCCAAAGAGAAGTTGTGAAAGAGTCCCAGCGGCAGTGAAAACTGCAACTAGGCAGAGCTTCAATTGCACAGTTGTACTCCCCCCCCCCCCCAAGCTGAGTAAAGATTTAGCTGAGGCATTTGCACAACAGGCTTTCTTTTACATAACATGCTAAGCTGCTAGGCAGGGCAGGGGTTTTGGGAGCTTAGTGCATTAGTATATTATTAGGTTACATCAGGGGTGAAATCCAGCAGGTTCTGACAGGTTCTGGAGAACTGGTAGCAGAAATTTTGAGCAGTTCGGAGAACTGGCAAATACCACCTCTGGCTGGCCCCCGAGTGGGGTGGGAATGGAGATTTTGCAATATCCTCCCAGGAGTGGGGAGGGAATGGGGATTTTGCAGTATCCTTCCCCTGCCACGCCCACCAAGCCACACCACGCCTACCAAGCCACGCCCACAGAACCGGTAGTAAAAAAATTGGATTTCACCACTGGGTTACATACACACCAGAAAAGGATACAAATCTGTAATTAAAGAGTGGTGTGCAAATGCAGCTAAGATATTCTCTCCTCCAGCCTTGAACAGTCGCCTAACCCCCCTCCACATCTGGGGATTCTGGCTCTGAAGCAAAGCTGCTCTACCGGCAGGCCAAGCCTCCTCCAGTGGGGGGGGGGCGGGGGGGCTTGCAACTAATGGCTCCCATCGGCCGCAAGGCGCCTTAACACCAGGAGCCAAGAAGGCTTTTTCCCCCACTTCCTCCTTAAGCTGCTAATGCAAAGGGCAAGAGTTGGCGTTTATCTGGGCAGAGCAGGAATTGCAGGCAGGGAAGCCGTTTCTGAGAACATGAAAAGGGTACAAGGGATCTGGATCGCAGCGAGGCAATTGCGGGAGAGGGAGGGAAGGCGACCCTTCTGTCAGGATTGGCTGGCTCCGCTTATGCCTGTACAGATAGGCTGTGGAAGGGGGGGGACACTTGGAATAAGTCAGGGCTCTAGAAAGATGGCTGTTTTTAGCACCCATCACGGTAGGACACGAAGTGGGCCTGGGTAGGTGGGACCCAGGACAGCCGCGGGGTTAATTTCGACCCCTGCAAGATCCCCTGTGTGTGGCAGTGCTTTCGGCTGCGTTTCCCCTTCCTCTCCTAGAGGCTGCAAGCAGCACGACTGAGAATTACCTGGACATCAAGGGGACTTGCCACGCTCACCCCAGATTAGTGGGGCCGGACACTTCTCGGAAGCAGCCCTCTCCTCCTGCAGACGGACCCAGCAGCCGCCTGTACTGAGGCAGCTCTCGGGGCATCCGAAACGCTCCGTCTTTGGGGCTTGAGTGCGCGGCTGCAGCCCTGCAGGGAACGGCAGCGGCAGCGGCAGCGGCATATGGATCCCAGAAGCTCGATTTTGATGTGGTTAAGGCACAAGCCACAGCGCTCCCGTTCAAACGGGGAGATAATCTGGTGGCCAGCAGCTGCCAAGCCACGTGAAGGGGATACCCGCAGTGGGGTGACTCCAAGGAGCCCCGATCCTGCGCCTGGAGGGTTGGAAAAGATTGGTGAGTTTGGCGAAGACCGGGGTGGGGCGGCAGGTATATGCAAGCTTTATTTGATGCCATTTCATTCTCATTGCAGGCTGTCAAATATGCCCTTTGCGGAATTCAGAGGCCAAATTAGAAAGACGTAACTTCTTATTGGATAAACTGCAAAGGAAGAAAAAAAGGAGAGAAGGGTTTATAAACAGGGAGGGATTGTGTGTGTGTGTGTGAGAGAGAGAGAGAGATAATACTATAAGTATCCTACACAAGGACAAATTCCTTTGAATGTCATTTACTTTTCATGCTAAACAAATTACTTAGGAAAGGGAATGTGATACTCGCTCTATGAAAGGGCCAGCTGAGAATAATGAAAAAGAGAAAAGGAGGCTTTTACACTCCCTGTTTTGCACCAGAGGTGATGCACTCTTCTGGGGGGGGGGGGTTAAAATTTGTCCCTTCTTCTCTTTCCCCCCCTTGGGAGAGAATGGCTTTCACCCCCCCCCCCCCCCCCCCACAGATTCCCTGTTGCACTGCTTCCATTCTGGAGGCAGGTGCAGCACCTCCTTTGCACACACACACCCCCAGTTGACCCCCTGCAGAAGGGAAGGATCTGGAGGAGGAAAGATCTCTGTAGGTGAAAGAGGCACCTGCCCACCTTTTCTTGATGTAGCTTGGGCAGGGGAGCCTATGGGAACTATGGAATGTATGGGACCCTCGATCCTGTCTTCCCCCTAATTAGCGTAGGGCAGGACATAGAGATTAATGGAACTCTCCTGCCTTCATTAACCGCTTAAACCAGGGCTGCCCAACTTTTTCCAGTCCAAGGAGGAACATCTGCCAGCAAAGGGAGGACCATCTAACCAAGATGCCAGGCATGATTGTGAATCAAAGCTCTGCCCATTGAGATGGCCCTCTTGACTCTTACTACCTCCCTTCTACCCCCAGAGACTTCTGAGTGCGGTGGCCACACTTAGCATTTACATATAAAGTCTTGTTTTTGTTTATTACAATATTCAAATTTGTTACAAGGTTTCAACTCCTTATCTTCTTCAAGGCAAAATGACTTCTAATTTCTATTTTTTTTTTAATTTGATTTATATGCCTCCCTTTTCTGGAGACTCAGGGCGGCTTACAATGCGTTAAGCAATAGCCTTCATCCTTTTGTATATTTTTATCCACAATATAGCTTCCTGTAACAAAGAAAGTCAAACTGTGTCAGTTGCTGGTTTCCCTATGTTTGTCAGTTTTACTCTTCTTCCCTGGCAAAAGAAAAAAACAACTGTCCAGTACCAACTTAATTTTAGGTTTCTGGCTCTGCAGTCCTAACTAATTGCAGAGTCACAGCAGAGTCTGGCAAGTTTCAGCTCTGGGGTATCTGATTATGTCTCCAAATTAGAATTGGCTTGATGCTGCTCAGCTAATTATTATTTTTTGAGTAAATGTTTTTCCACTTCCAAAAAACCTAAGTCTTTTCAGACACAGGATATGTTATTTTATTTATTTATTTATTTATTGGTTCGATTTATATGCCGCCCTTCTCCGGAGACTCAGGGCGGCTTACAATGCGTTAAGCAATAGCCTTCATCCTTTTGTATATTTATACAAAGTCAGCTTATTGCCCCCACAAACTGGGTCCTCAATTTACCTACCTTAGAAAGGATGGAAGGCTGAGTCAACCTTGAGCCTGGTGAGAATTGAACTCGCAGTAATTGCAGGCAGCTGTTCTTAATCACAATGCTTTTTTAGTCTGCTGAGCCACCAGGCCCCTATTGATTCCAAACCATGTAGTTTTCTGTGTAATAGGAATTATTAATATTGTTATGGTTGCTATTTAGATTTATGAGGCTTCCAAACCAGAAATATTCCAGGTATGGCTGGGGGTTTCTTTGATTTCATCTGGGTTTGTTTTTTTTAACTTAGCACTTTAGAAGTTGGGATTCCCTGGGGGTCTCCCATCCAAATATCAGTGAGGCCAAACTGACATCAGAGCTCAGAGTGGGTTGGTTAGCTATTGCCATTTTACATATAATTATAAAACACAATTAATATGAATATCTTCAGTCTTTTATTTAGTAATTCCCCAACCCACGTACAATTTGATTATACCTTTTGGAGGTTCCTTGAGTTCAAAACCCAGAGCTTTAAGGCTTCATGCAGCTCTAAGTGCTCAGGTGTTGCATCTGATTTTTTTAAAAAGAGTTCCTTTTGTTCAATTGGCAATGTATTTAGTGTTGTCAGGCATAAAAGTGCTGAATTCAGCATGGAAGAGCTGCCCATTTCATTCTTGGCCCTCACCTGTCTATCATTTGTCACTAAAATGCTGCAGTGGACTGTTGCATCCAAACTGCAAAGAAGCCAGCAGGATTAAGTGTAAAAACTGGCTCACATTTGTTCAGTAAACCTGCAAAATCTATTTCTTTGCTTGGTAGTGTTTATACAGGCACATCACTGCATCTGACTCTTTGCCATATGAAGAAAAAGAGGGGGTGAGGGAGAGAGAGAGCAATCCCTGCCCCCAAAATCATACAATTTATATTTTGCACATCAGGAAACAATGGAGGGGGAGGGGATAGGAAGAGAGCGGGTGGGAGAAGATGATGGTCCCCATAGCCACTTAATGCAGATCATTAAGAGAATTATAATATATAATAATGGCTTTAATGTATTACTGTCTTGAAGAATTGAACTGTGGTTTGAATTTAACTGTCTACCAGCATACACAGTGTGCGTACAGTGTATGCAAATATAAAAATATAGTACAGGTAGTCCTTGACTTATAACCATAATTGAGTCTGGAATTATGGTCATAGCAGCCATTAAGAGGGTCACCACATGACCATGCCCGTGTTTATTATCCTTCCTGTGGTGGTTACACAATCATTAAATATATTCATTATATCCAATGGGCATTTGTCACAAAATATCACTCACTTGGCTGCAGGACCCTGCAAACGGCTGGAAATGTGAGCTGGTTGCCAAGCACCCAAAATGTCATGTGACTGGTGGGTGGGATACAACCATCATACCTTTGAAAACAGGTCATAAATTGCTCTTCAAATGGTTGCTAAGTTACCAGTCATTAAACAAGGACTAGGACTTCCTGTAAACGTAATTAATTAAGAGAGGGGATCTGTAATTGCATTTCCTTCTGAAATGTTGTTTTCATATTGCTTAGGATTCATTGTAAACAAACTCTATGTTACACTGTATTTTCAGTGGCAAACAGGCCTGTTCAGTCATGGGTTCCACTCCCAGGTAGACTTTAAATTACAGGTTCTGTGCTGTGTGCAGCTTTTGAAAATACTACGTAAAAATGATATTATGATTTCTCAATATATTAAAAACCTGAATTGGTTCATAACAGATACAAACAGTATTACAATATAAAAACAATCCATTTTAAAAAAAATATTAGGATTAGCTACTGAGGAAAGGTAATATTTAAAAATGTGTTCTGGAAATAAAACAGTGAAGTAGTTCTTGATTGTAATTTTTTTTTTAAATTTGATTTATATGCCGCCCTTCTCCGAAGACTCAGGGCGGCTTACAATGTGCTCAGCAATAGCCTTCATACTTTTGTATATTTTATACAAAGTCAACTTATTGCCCCCACAAACTGGGTCCTCAATTTACCTACCTTAGAAAGGATGGAAGGCTGAGTCAACCTTGAGCCTGGGGAGATTCAAACTTGCAATAATTGCAGACAGCTAAATGTTAATAACAGGCTTTTAGAATGTTGAGCTATCCAGGCTCTTGTAATTGTAATGTCAGGCTTTTCCCAATAAATGAGGTAAAACTGGCACAAACCGATCCAGCAGCTTCTGCTAAGCAGCTTTATTGCAGAAGAGCTAAGAAATCTTCAGATGCAAGTCCTATTTGCAGTAAATTCCGTGTTCAAATGTTTGCTCCACTTGCAGGGGGCTGCCGTGGCAAGCAGAGGAGAATGGGCTTGCTGGTACGTCATCTTGACAGTGGCTTGTTGTGGTTTTACATTGTGAAAGACTAAAAGATTGGGAACTTCTTATACTTAACAAATATATACTTACTTCTGACCCACGAGGACACCTAGATACTAGTCACAGTTATCACTGTTGAGCCACATGCCCCTTCTATATCTGTGCGTTTGTTTTTTTCTTGCCTGAGTGCCTAATCTTAAATTTCTCACCACTTATTGGCTAGGGCCTAATGCTAACGCTCTTCAAAAGTTTCAGCATTTCCCCCCAGCTTGGTGCCCTCTGCAAATTTAATGAGCTCCCCTTCTGTCCCCTCATCTAGGTCATTTATGAAGATATTGAAGAGTACTGGGCCTAAAACAGTAAACTTTTCATTTTAATGTAAATTTTAATTTGTTCTTAACCTGGGGTTTTAAATTTGTCTTGGGCTAAATTGATTTAATTCGATTTTACTTCTGTTCTTACATTTTTGTATTCTATGTGTTTTATCTCGTGCCTGTTCAGCGCCCTGAGTCCTTCGGGAGTAGGGCCTAATGCTAACGCTCTTCAAAAGTTTTAAATCAAATAAAATGAAAAAAAAAATGAAAATGAAATGAAAAAAAATAAAACAGAACCTTGAGCTACTCCACTGCATGCTTCCCTCAGGCAGATGTAGCTCCGTTGAGGACCACATGCTGAATGTAATTGGTCATCCAACTGCGAAACTATCTGGTGGTGATCCTGTCTTCCCACATGGTTCAATCCGGTAGCAGTTCGGAACTGAGCGTGCATGTGTGCACGCTTGCTTTGCTCGCGGCTTTTCTGCACATGCACAGAATTTTCTGTGCGTGCGTAGAACGTCCATGATGATGTCTGGGCAGGTGGGCGGAGCCTCCCGCTGCCGCCACTACCGGTTCACACGAATCAGGGAGAACCAGTAGAAACACACCACTGGTTCAGTCTCACCAAAAAGTAGGCTGTGGTCTACTTTGTCAAATGCCTTACTGAAGTCTAAATATACTACATACACAGGATTGTCCTTATCCACTAATTCAGTCATTTTATCAAAGAAGGCAATAAGTTTTATCT